GAATAGAAGTTGTTTTTTTATTATATAAAATGATGTAACGTTTATATTAAATATGTTAACAAATTAGAAGAATTATGAGTTTATGTGTGAATTAGAAATTCATTTCTAAGAATATTTACCAGAACAAGGCCAAGTCGAGGTAGAAGGAGAACTAGATGTGCAAAAGTGTTCCTCGTCCCAGCTGAATATGCTCCGTAAGAGCGGAAGGATGTCTAAATTTAGCTGCACAGTTTGTTTTGATTGGTCTCTTGTGTGAGTATAATGGTGCTGTCTCCTTTAGCTGTAGGCTTATGGGAGCCTTCCACAGCTTACCTGACTATTTATCCCTATAGTTTAAGAGGACTGGCCTAACTCATTCACTAAATCAAGCTCCCTGTCTCATTTGAAGGTGGAGAGTCTATCTCACCCAAACCCCTGTGAATCGAACCCCTGTCAGAATAAGGCTTTGTGCTACAGTTTGCCTGGTGACTTCTACTGCGCCTGTCCTGAAGACTACGAGGGCAAGACATGTGAAAACCGCAAGGACCACTGCAAGACAACCCCTTGCCAAGGTACTGCCCTTCCTGTTCTGCTGCCGACCGAGATGCAATAGCCAAAGATGACCTGCTTTTGTACAGTAGTGCACAATAGTTCACCTTAACAGGCGTCTGATCTTATTCCCACTTCTCTTGTTTTCTCATTCCCAGTGATTGACAGCTGTACAATAGCTGTGGCAAGTAACAGCTCAGATGGGGGTGTGAGAAACATCAACTCTAATGTGTGTGGTCCTCATGGCCGCTGTATCAGCCAGCCGGGCGGCAACTTCACCTGCACCTGTGAGCTCGGCTTTACAGGAACCTACTGCCATGAGAGTGAGTCATACTTACTGTTTCACCATTTTCCCTTTTTTACTCATATTCCTGTGATGCCTGTTTGTCCTTGTTTGTTCACTTCTTCATTCATTTTGTTTATCTTGTATTGTAGGTGGGTAATTGACGTGACTTTTCAAGCAATTTCAGCAGATTCCTGTGCTATAATTTACAACAATTTCAAGCAAAACTTGTCCAATTATTTTTAAATAGTTTTTAAAAATAATGACAATTTTTTATTGTTATAACAGTTCTTTTATCAGTAGTTGTAATTATTGATTTAATAATTTTATAAATAAACTTGTATTCATTAGTTACATTAGTATATTTGAAAATTAATTTGTTATAGGTACCACAAGGCCAATTAAACTGAAAATATTATATATATATATAT